GTGTGCGCGTGTGTGTGCGTATGTTTGTGTTTGTGTGTGTGTGCGCATGTTTGTGTTTGTGCGTGTGTGTGTGTGCGTGTGTGTGCGTATGTTTGTGTTTGTGTGTGTGTGCGTGTGTGTGCGTATGTTTGTGTTTGTGCGTGTGTGTGTGTGCACGTGTGTGCGTATGTTTGTGTTTGTGCATGTGTGCGCGTGTGTGCGTATGTTTGTGTTTGTGCATGTGTGTTTGCGCGTGTGTGCGTATGTTTGTGTTTGTGTGTGTGTGTGTGCGCGTGTGTGTATGTTTGTGTGCGTGCGTGCGTGTGCCTGTGCGTGTGCCTGTGCGTGTGCCTGTGCGTGTGCGTGTGCGTGCGTGTGTGCGTGCGTGCGTGTGTGCGTGTGCGTGTGTGTGTGTGCGTGTGTGTGCGTGTGTGTGTGTGCGTGTGTGTGTGAGTGTGTGAGTGTGTGAGTGTGAGTGTGTGAGTGTGAGTGTGTGAGTGTGTGAGCGCAGTATCTTCCTCTGTTATTCTGTGTTGTACGACAGGATCGGTCCTGCATATCTTAGGCCAAAGTAATCAAACACAGATGTCTGTCAGGGTCTGAGGGGGGTAGGCGTTGTTTAATCTAGGCCAGGCTAATTGAACCCTGGTGGTCTGCGTCAGGTACAGGCATCTCTGTGTCTCAGGATGTTTCTGAGGTTGCCTGTAGAAACGCTGCTTTACAGACGTTCTACATACCCAGCAGCACAGACCTGTGAATGTGTGTTACAGACGGCTGAGATGTTTCACATTATTTCATGTCAAATTTAGTTTGTCCTCATCAGCAGGCGAACACGCGCATCGCTGATCGGGAGCAGGTGTGCTGTGTTTGGAGGGCTAGAGAGGGATGGAGGGAGGCGCTCTGAGTGGCCATCTACTTTGTACCTGCAGTTATTGGCCATTTTATCAGAAACCCCTGCCGTACAGGTTCTGCAGCTGATGCGCTCGTACCAGCACCACTACAGTGCTGCTGTACTGAGAATGGACCACCTCCCAAATAACAAAGTGCTTTCTTGTCCACTCAGAGATGGTATTGTAAGCTAGTACGAATAGGTTCAAGTTCAAACTACACTCTTAAAAAAGGTGGTTCTTCAAGGGTCCTTTTTTTTTTAAAGGGAATTAAGATGCTTAATTTAATGGTTAAATGGTTCTGTGCATAGTGAAATGGTTCTAACACAAGAAGGGTTCTTCCATTAGTATGATGTCAAGCTTGTAACAATAGCAGAACCATTTTTGATGTTGTATAGAACCATTTTCAAAACAGTTCTGTATAGAACCGTATACAGCACATTCTCCATCAATCAAAAGAACCATTTAATCATGAAGTGGTTCTATACTGAACTCGTAGAACCACTCCTTTTACTGAAGAACCCTTGAAGAACCATGTTTTTTAAGAAGGTAGATGAGCTCAAACACTGCCGGAAAACAAAAGCCAGTGAAAGAAAGATAGGAATGCCGTAAATGTGGTTACATTTAACTGACCATTGAGTACCTAATAAACTGGCATCTCCCTGTGAAAAGGTCAGGAGAGAGAGGGTGACTGAGAGAGACAGGCAGAGGTCAAGATGGATGGAGGAAGAAGAGGAAGGGAAACAGGGAGAGTTTGTTAAGAGTAGAGATGGGAAAATCAGAATAAACTCTGCCCCAACTTTCTCAGAGCACCGCAGACCACCGGCCAGTCCAGACACTGACCGGCTCCTATTATTAGTCAGAGAGAGAGAGAGAGAGAAAGAGAGAGAGAGAGAGAGAGAGAGACAACTGTTTCCCTTCAGAGGTTCAGCCAGTTATTGACCTTCTCTCTCTCTTTCTCTCTTCTATCTCTTTCTCTTTTTCTGTCTGTCTGTTTCTCTCTCTCTCTCTTCTTTTCTTACTCCGCTCTCTCTCTCTCATTCTCTCTCATTTTCTCTCATTCTTTCTCTATCATTCTCTCTCTCTCTCATTCTCTCTCTCTCTCTGTCTGTCTGTCTGTCTGTCTGTGTCTCTCTCTCTCTCTCTCTCTCATTCTCTCTCTCTCTCTCTCTCTCTCATTCTCTCTCTCTCTCTCTCTCTCTCTATCATTCTCTGTCTGTCTGTCTGTCTCTCTCTCTCTCTCTCTCTCTCTCTCTCTCTCTCTCTCTCTCTCTCTCTCTCTCTCTCTCTCTGTCACAGGTGCCCATCATCCCCATTGTGTTCTCCTCCTACAGTAACTTCTACCTACGGAAAGAGAAAGAGTTCAAATCAGGTAACACACTCTTGTGAAAAAAATGGCACTCAGATCAATAATCAATAATATACATAATGCATAAAAGACATTTTGGTGCCCACAACATAAACTGATCATGCCAACAAATCAAACTGCAGAATTTGGTCAAAATTGTATTTAGTTTCATAAAATTAGGTGTTTATAAAATGGATAAGTTTTCCTTTAATGTTTTAAATGAGATGGCAGTGGTGGTGATGATCATGATGGTGATGATAACAGTAATGGTCATAATGGTCGTGATGATGATGGTGGTGGCAGTGGTGAAAAGAGTAATAGTAATGATGGTGGCAGTAATAACGGTGAAGATGATGGTGGTGATGAAAATGATTGAGGTGATGATGGTAATTGTGATGATAATGGTGCTAAAAAATTTGTTGATGGATTTATATGACAGTGATGATGACGTTCATAATAATGATTATGGTATATATGGTATTATCATTATAGCACAGTGTATAGTATAGTATACCATTAATGATAATTATATTATTAATAATTAATTAAAGATTTATTACAATTAACTTATAATTAATGGTATGTTGTAATTTTTTTAATAATTATAATAACAATAATAATGGTAATTATAATAAAGGTAAAGATGATGGTGATCAAAAAGATTGAGATGACAATGATAATTATCATGGTGATGATAATGGTGATAATGATGATGGCGGTGATGAAGATGATGGTGATAATAATGTTGTTGGTGATGATGGTAATAATGATAATGATAATTATAATAATGGTGAAGATGGCTTTCCTTTAATGTTTTAAATGAGATGGCAGTGGTGGTGATGATCATGATGGTGATGATAACAGTAATGGTCATAATGGTGGTGATGATGATGGTGGCAGTGGTGAAAAGAGTAATAGTAATGATGGTGGCAGTAATAACAGTGAAGATGGATGGTGATCAAAAAGATTGAGATAATGATGGTAATTATCAAGGTGATGATAATGGTGATGATAATTGTGGTGAGGGTGATCATAATAGTGGTGGTAATAATGGTGGTCTTAATTTTGCTAATTGTTGTGATGAGGATGATAATGATGGCGGTAATGGTGATTATGGTGATGGTGATGATGAAGATGGTGGTGATCATAATGGTAATTGTGATGGTGGTAATAGTGCTGTTGGTGATGGTGATAGTAATGTAATGATGGTAATAATAATAACAGTGAAGATGTCTGTGGTACTTGCTGAGCTACATTCTTAGGTGATGGTAATTACCATGGTGATGATAATAGTGATGATAATTGTGGTGATGATGGTAGTGATCATAATAGTGATGGTGATAACAATGGTGCTGATTGTGGTGACGAAGATGAAAATGAAGGTGATCATAATGATGATGGTGATTATGGTGATGGTGGTGGTGATGATAGTCATAATAATGACAGTGATTTTGATGATGATGATAAAAGTGGTGATGGTAACAGTGGTAGTGATAACGATGTCCCTTCTGTCTTCCTCACAGGAACGATCACCTTGAAGATCCTTCCGAAGATCGAGACAAAGGGGTTGACATCAGACGACGTGTCATCGCTCAGCGACCAATCGTACGCTGTGATGCGCTCCACCTTCCTGGAGATTTCCAGCCAATCGCCTCAGAGCAACGGGCCGTCCAACCACTGAACATTCCGTGGCTCTGGCCACTTTCATTGCCTCTCACAACCAGGATGCTCTGCAGTGGCTCAAGACTTCGTAGTCATGGTGACGGTAGCTGTGGCAACCAGACGCTTCCAGTATCTTCTCCAGTGTCCACATACAGTGTATACACACACACACACACACACACACACACACACACACACACTCAACAGGTCTCATCTCTTCATTTCACTCACTCGTTGGGACTTCAGTGAGCTTCGGGCAGTGCAGCAGTGAGGGGTAAAGCGAGGGCAGTGACCTTTAACCTTGTCCCTTCTGAGACGTGCCGTTCTGGGTCCTGTTCAACCAGCTTGGAGCGTTTATTTTTGTTTGTTTTATTCATTTCTTCCCCCCGTGCCCCCCTATCGCTGACAGGTTCGGTGTGGAGCGGAGCTCTCAGAACTTCTTCTCTTCATGGATGTGCATTCATCGTGCATGCCTTGGGACGCGCTGTCTTTCTCGCCGCCTTTTCATTTTTTCGGATCCAGTTACGTCTGTCCGAGCGTTCGTCACTTCATCATCTCATGTTTTCTTCATCTCTTCTTCAGCCAGCACTCCTGCCTTACCACCCCGCCAATGAAAACGTGCTTCTTAAGAAGTAGAACACTGGTCCAACATTCAGAACCTTCCACCACTCCAAGCCCATTAAGGAGGAGTCTGCGGTTTCTCGGGAAAACTGCACGCAAATTCACGAGCAACGTTCTTCACGGCGACGGATTACGAGCGGAAGTTCTAAAGACTCGAGCGTAACTCAGTGTTGCTAGAATTGTGGTGACATTTCGTTTCTTTCAGCCTCTTCAGCAGGGTTTGCATGAGCTTTTCTTGTCCCTTATTTATTTTGCGCACCTGAATCTAAATTCTTGCCTTTTTCGCCCCCTGAACCCCGTTTGGAAAGTGCACCTATCTCCCTGCAAACGTGTCAAAGGTAACTTCCTGAAGTGCATTGTTGGGTTGTACCAATCCTAATGCTCCAAAGTGCAAGCTTCTTGTTGTGCCATGTGTCCAGAGTCTTTCAGCTACCAGTTAGCGGCATTGCGAGTCACGTACTGACCAGTTATTGATCTGTGATCACTGTGTTCAACACGCTGCAGCTGCTGAACTGACGTTAATGACTGCGTCACATTTCTTATTTGAGGTCTGAGTTCAGTCCTCGTGTACTGTTTAACACTTCTTTAAAAGTTATTTATAATGAACATAATTAAGACTTATGGTAGCGCCTTACTGTAGGTCAGCGTTCGTAAGGCTACATAAGCTCATCATTACAACTGACATACGTTTTAAGACACTTACTGCAGTGGGCGTCGTCTGTCTTAAAGACTGCTTTTGTCAACTTTAATGTCAAGTTGACTTAATGCCTACATCAGATAACGTTGATTATTTTTTCTGACATTAGGTTGTGACAGCTAATTCTGATTGTTAGTGTACATCACATGAGCTTAAATCGTCTAAATGGTAAACGGAACTCACTTTTTAATTAAGAGAGCGCTCACTTTTGTTCAACTCGTCTGACTAAGTCGTCAGCCGTATATCACTGTGACACACAGTGGGGTCCAAAAGTCTAAGAGTGCTGAAGAAAACACTTCTATTTCTGCATTTCTAATTTACTAGAAAGATTTTCATGCATATTCTATTATCGGGATAACAATTTGAGTGAAACATGGAATCTTTGAAATTTTAACATGAATTTCAGAATTTCTTAGTATTTGAAATGTTCCCCTTTTGCTTTGTTGACTCGTTGTGGACTCCACCTGAGAGTCGTCTGAACATGAGCTTCAATGGAAAAGATACGACTAAAAACAATCTGACCTTTTTCAGGCCTTTCAGAATCTTCAACATTTGTTGTTTATTTTAATGGTCATAACTTCTCTTTGTTCAGAATTCTGAAACTTTCTGTTTATTTCTGGCATTTAATGAAAAAATTCCGATTGTTTAATGTGGTCTCAGACTTTTGGACCTCACTGCACACTAGGCTACAAATCCTGTGCCTTGTCACCTCAGAAAGTGCCACAACAACCCAATGTTAGAAAAAAAAATCAATGCCACCCGACATATCCGTTATGTCGACTTGACGTCAAAGCTGGCAAATGCAGCCTTTATTACAGACGACACCTTTTGCAGTGTTTTTGAATGTGTTTATTAATGTTAGTGTAGGTTTAAGCCGGTTGTTATCAGCTTATGTAGGTGTTGCCTTATGAACACTGCATTACAGTACAGTGTTACCAGAAGCATTTCTAATAACGTAAAAAGATGTAAAATGTGGAAAATGTTTAGGGAGGGACCTAATTTTCCAGTATTATCTGTAACCAAACCAAATGGAAACCATTAATATTAACAATTCTACTTTAAAATTACGCCCAACTATATATATGAATAGAGCTATGGACAACTGACCTTACTTGGAAAAGATTTGGTGGAAAAAATCTTTTTGCTAAAAGAAGAGGTCGGGAACCATTTATGCCAATTTCAGGTCGTGTTGATCCACCTGAAGCTTCTTGACGTCCCAAGGAGCACCTAAGAATGTAACTCGGCAATCACCGTACTAAAAAATGATTTATGATTTTTTTAAAAAAGGCCTTCCTGCTCTTTCACACTAAATTTTTGTTATTTTTTTGACTGACCTGTAGCTAACTTTGCTATTTAAAAGTGAAATTCCATTGATTTTTTTTTTAATCTGCATAATTTAATGTTTGAGATGTAAACAGAGAGATTCAGAGTGGTTTGGTGTGAAATGGTTCAGATGTCTTTACAGTGGTGGTGATAGGAACCAGGGGTCGCCATGACTACAACACAAATATAGACATTTTATTTACTATCCAAAACCACCAGTGAACCTACACGGGTCTTCTGAGATGTTGATGATGATGATAAAGATGATATTTAGGTCTATTTTGCTTCACAGTTCCCTGCATTATAGACTAAAACCTTCTCAAGTACCATTTCCTGTAGGAACTTTCTGTGAGGGAGCTTTTAGAGGTGGACGTCTGGTTCCTATCACCACCACTGTGAACAGTTCTGACTCTAGAAATCAGACACTGACTCAGGAGTGACTCTGTTCATCCCAGTGATTTAGTTATGCAGAATTTAACCCAGTGGAGGAATAATCTTGATATTTATTTGAAATTCTTGTTATTTTTGTTTTTTTTTTTTAACGTGAATGTTCTAGTTTAATTTAGTCGTACGCTGGGATGGAGGAAGCCGGTGGTTTTCTCCCGTGTTGTAGGCTGAGGTAAAAGTGTTCAAGCAGCTTTAAGGTTATTTTTCTTTAGCTCTCCACCCATAAAAGAACATACTGACTTGTACTGTTTGAGCTCTGAGAGTTACAGTATAATGAGTCTGTATCAACTCTGATTTTAGAATTTCAATTCAACTCTGTTATTACTGACATAATTAGGATTAAAACGGCTTAAATTGTTAAGGCACTTTTCATTTTGACTACTACAATGTTCATTTTTATTAATCTTATTTTCCCTCATTGTTTGTCTTTTTTTGCCTAAGGGGGGAAAATGTGGCAAAATGGTGTACAAAACATGTCGTGGTTTCCCACCAAAGCTACTCATGGTGTAAACTGGTGGTAGTTCTAGATGCCGTTTATCATCTGAACGGAGAAACAGTCCAACATCTCCCGCTGGTTTCTGATCTGTGTTTTTGACGAATACCTACTGCGAACACACACAGTCGCTCTGAAAGCCCATCGTAGTATCTGGTATTATATATAATTATACACAGAGACGTAGGAATCCGGACACAGCCTGTGTAAAGAATGCCTTGGAAAAGTTTAAGACAAATAAATTTTGTTTTTTTCCTATGGGAACGGCCTTTTTTGTTTCATTGCTGCTGTTTTCTTTCTCGATCTTCAGTGAGTGTCTGGGTCATATTTCTTGCTTTACGCTTTTTTGGAAAGTTCTTTTAAATGGTCTGAACGTGTCATAAAGAATTGACCAATAGGAGAGATCAAAAATGACTTAAATTGAATATAAAATCTTTTTTGCGTTAACATACACAAACCCTCAAAGACCCCAAGCACTTATTTTGAGGATGTTTTATTTTTTTCCCCAACTGTCTATTGGAAGCCTCTGTTTGTTTATTTATTTATTTGTTTATTAATTGATTAATTGATTGATTGGGGTAGATTCTGGCCAATTGTTGCAAAATCACAACCACAGGTTTCACAATTTTCTGTTTGATTTTTAACTTGGTTTCATTTTATGTAATATTATTGAGTCTACACTCTTGAAAAGGCGGTTCTTTAAGGGTTATTAAGAATGGCTTTATCTAGAACCATGAATTTCATGCTTAAATAGTTCTTTGCATGGTGAAAATGGTTCTTCAAATTGATGGTTCTATATCAAACCTTTCTGAAAATGTCAAGCTTGTAACAGAGCAGAACCCTTTTTGATGCTGTTTAGAACCATTTATAACACATTCTCCATCAACCTGAGGAGCATTTCACCATGCAGAGATATTTAATATCTATTTAAGCATTGACAAACATTGCCTCAGATTTGTTTATGTACATCTTTTGTTTGTTTTGTTGTCACTAAATGTATCACAACTCTGATATTTACTTGGACGTTTACTGAATGTGCTCCAAAACAAAGCGCGGGGGTGTCATGTTGCCTTATTTGGCATGTCAGATTCAGTATATTATTATTTTTTCACCATGACTGATGCTGTGATAGAGTGTTGTGAGTTGTAGTTTTAGTGCCGTTGGCCCTTATTTATCAAAGTTGTGAAAACGCCAATTTGATGACATATGAATAAGCGGAGATATGAGCGCAATCAGCTCCAGTGCGTGAAATCAAGCGCCGGCCTACCAGCACCTCATTTACATTAAGCACACCCTAATTCACGCAGACGTCTTGGTAGGGAGCCAATAAAACCACAACGTTCAGCGGCTCATGAGCCAATGGCTGTGCTCGTAGGCGGAGTTTGAGGTGGAGCTGTGAGCGCACTGCTCCCCCTACTGCCCAAACGTCATAGTGTTAAAATTATGACCACTGGAAGGAATAAAATATGAAATAAACAAAGCACTTTAGTGTTTTTAAGACGTTATAATGATGTGATTATTTTCCTAAAATAACATATTTAAACGCTGTATTATTGTATTGTCATATTGTATGACACTAGCTGTGTTTTTACTGAAGGACACGAGTGGGCATAATCACAACACATTTAACGATGAGTACTTTTTCATTTTGGCCTGAGGGTCCCTTTTAGAAGGTTCGTTTTTCTTTCTCTTTTAAAGTTTCCTTTTCAGAAACACCTTTCTTTACAACAGCAACAGAGGGCACATGCACCAAGCCTTCAACTGTTCATTAACAAATCAGTTTATTATAAAAATGTTCATTATAAAAATTGCTGAAATCAGACAAGGTCATACAAATGAGAATGAACATGATGTCTATAATAATTCTATATACAAGCAGCTCTTTTTAATTATAATAAATACAGAGATCCGCTGTCCTCCACCGTACAGACACAGAGAGAATATACAGCTGTGCTTTGGCCCACACACAAAAACATAAACACAAACAGGTAAGAAAACAGGTGTAGAAATGGTGGAGAAGGTCAGAGGTCGTATCCGTGAGTATGTGGTCTGTGCAGCACTCGTATTCGTGGTATTAACTCTGCATCACTCAGGCCTGGATTCAGATCCTGATCCTGAATTCAGAGCTTGATGATTGACATGGCCAGTTGACTCAGGTGTGTTAGAGCAGGGAAAACCTTAATAACTCAAAGTTATTGATTATAAATGGTCAGTTAGCCAAAACGTGTTTGGGCTCTGCAGTTTGCTTCTTTAGCTTCGCACTGGAGCTACAAGGCTAATGTAGCTAACAAGCGATGGAAGCTTATACCCCACCGATTAGCATGGTGCTAACTCATCAAGCATAAACAGAGTCACTCAGAGTGGTTTGGCGTGGAACGCTCTGTTCTAGAGAAACTTAGAGTCAGAGCTGTTCACAGTGGTGGTGATAGGAACCAGACGTCCACCTCTAAAAGCTCCCTCACAGAAAGTTCCTACATGAAATGGTTATGAATTCACTGCCTGATGACTGAGACACTGTTTTATGATAGTTTAGAGAACTTAAACTCCATTCATGGTGGAGGGATACATGCAGGGCGCTGTGAGGCAAAATAGTCCCCAAAGAAAACTTATTATTCCAGATTTTCCACTGTTTCCCATCATCAACATTCCATATAAACTCAGAAGACTCGTGTAGGTTCACTGGTGGTTCTGGATAGTAAATAAAATGTCTATATTTGTGTTGTAGTCATGGCGACCCCTGGTTCCTATCACCACCACTGTAAAGACATCTGAACCATTTCACACCAAACCGCTCTGAATCACTCTGATTGTCTTAAGTGTCAGATAAGTCTGTTTGGAGGGGTATAAGCTTCCATTATTTGTTAGCTTAATTAGCATTAGCCTCATAGCTCTAGAGCTAAAAGGATGCTCCTGTGGATGGACTCAGGACTTCTTCGAGTTCAGGTTGCGTGAACGATTCAGATCCGAGCAGTTGATGGAGATCCAGCCCGCTGTCTAGTTTTCCTGACAGGAACCTGGAATGGACAGAGGTTCATGAAAGGTCAGTGTGGTCAGGTAAGTTCCACCTACACACTAGGGTTGGACGATATGACAAAAATATAACATCACATGTACTTTAAAGTAGTTTACCAACCTGAAAAAGACTTGATTTGCAGTCAAATAAAGTCACTGTAAATGTCAATAGAAACTGACAGTTCTAATAAGTGCAAAAAGCAATCCTTTTAAAATAAAAGTCGACTTATTTTTCACGTATACACTGATATAAACAAACACTGCGTTATACCACTGATATAGAAAATATCCACCCTGAAATACAAAACATAATGGAAGTTCACATACTGCAATATTATCATTTAATCAGCCAGTGTTTATGAAAATAAACATCACTCTAACATCTGAAAAGAAAAGTGTATTCTTTTCAATTGTAATTTTAACACTATAAAGCTATTTAAGCTTTGGTCAGTAGTGGGGGTCAGTGGACCTCCTGCTAGACCTCAAACTCTACCTATGACGACAACCATTGGCTTATGAGCTGCTGAATACTTTTATTGGCTTACTATCGAAACATCTGCATGAATCTGGGCGTGTCCATTACAAATGATATGTATATGATATGTAAAAAAGGTACTTATGGGCGTTTGTTGCGTTGCCATGTGACTGTTTGCTGAGTCAGACGTAAAGTTTTCGTACTTCATTCCGGACAATCAAATCTGCGCTCGTTTCTACGCAGCTTTGATTCATAAAGGATGTTCGCACAATACGCAACAGATGCAACATTTCGTTTTTCGAACAGATACAACAAAACTCAATGTTTTACATGCTTCACAGCTCTACATCCACTTAAGCAGGGCTGAATGTCGTCACTGTCTTACCAAACCTCAGATCTCCATTTTTCGCTTTTTAAATTTTTTGCGTAATTTTAATCTGTCAGCTACCACTTGCATTGCCTCAAAATTTCACGACACATAAACCAATAGTAATTTGCCTTGAAGGGTAAGAACGTTAATTACTTTATGTAACTTACGGGAGGTTTCTGGAGGTACGAAGGTTCTCCCGACAGCGACAATATGTTCTCATGGACTTGCAGCACTGTCAGGTGACTCAAAATCCTCCAGCAATAGAGAGGCACTTAAGACGGCTACACCCCCCTGGTCTAAAGCTCTTTTTAATGAAACATGAAGTTGTTCAGTGGTCTTTAAATACTGATAGCCATGATATACTCAGGAACATCTATGGTGATGTCCACTACATGGCCTGGACACCTGAACATCACCTGCAGATGTGAGTTTGTCCCCCTTTGCGGCTATAGCAGCATTATTAGTGTGAGGTCAGACACAGCTGTTGGGTGATAAGCCCTGGTGCACAATTGACATTTCAGTTCTTCCCAAAGGTGTTGGGGTCAGCGCTCTGTGCAGGTCAGTCAGATTCTTTCACACCAAACTGGTCACTCCATGTCTTTATGGAGCTGCTTTGTGCTCAGGGGTCTCAGTCATGCTGGAACAGGAAACGCTCTTCCCCAAACTGCTGACACAAAGCTGGAAGCAGATAATATAAATGTCTTTGTGCTGCAGCATCAACATCACCCTTCACTGGAACTGAGGGGTCTGAAAAACAGCCCAGCCCATCATCCCTCCTCCACCAAACTGTACTGTTTACGCATTCCTGTAGGTAACGTTCTCCTGACATCCACCAAACCCAGATTCATCACTCTAGAGAACACGTTTCCACTGATCCAGAGTCCAGTGGCGGCGTTTTACACCCCTCCAGCCGACACTTGGCATTGCACATAGTGATCTTAGGCTTGCGTGCAGTTTCTCAGCTGTGGAAACTAATTTCATGAAGCTCTCGACACACAGTTCTTGTGCTGATGTTGCCACTTTGTTCTGTGAGTTTGTGTTGTCTACCCCATTCACTGCTGAGCCGTTGTTGCTCCTAGAGTTTTCCACTCCATAATAACAGCACTTTCAGTTGACGGGCAGATCTAGCAGGGCAGGAATTTCACTTGCTGGAGCTCTTCAGTATAACCTGCTCTACTATTAGCGTTTGTCTGTGGACATTACATGGCTGTATGCTTGATTCCATGCACCTGTTTGGCTGAAATAGCCAAGCCAACTAATTAAAAGGTGTCCACATAATTTCGGTTAATCCTCTATAACCACTATCAAACCACGGACATCACCGACTCCTAACAAACACAGACACGTGCACTCACAGGATCCGAGGCGTTCCTCCAGGAAGCCGACCTGCTCGCTGAGGGAGTCGATTCGGTCCAGCTGCCGCAGCGAGTGGGTCAGAAAAGTGGTCTGGTCAGACAGGAAGTTGGTCCTGTCGAAGAGGAAGCCATTCTTGTCGTCGTCTTCCTGGGGAAAGAGGGTGGAGAGCGGCGCGAGAACCATCTCCAGCTTCTACACAGAGAGAGAGAGAGAGAGAGAGAGAGAGAGAGAGAGAGAGAGAATGTGAGAAAGCAGCGAAAGCAAATGTTTGAGCTTATTTTTAGCTGCGGTGAGCTTCAACAGATGTAGCTTCTCCAGAACCAGCAGTGCTGCTCATCAGCCGCCAGTGTTTGAGTTCGGTTTTGAAGTTTTACGACTGTGGTCTTGGTCTTTGTGCAGTAAAACTGTGGACCTGGCAACCCTTTCTGATTGTCATTAGTGAAAGTCTTTGAAAGCCTTAGGTTTTTCTGCTTAATGTTGCACACGTTACCTGCTATGAAATATGAGTGTGTGTGTGTGTGTGTGTGTGTGTGTGTGTGTGTTTATTCACTGCTCTGAATATAAATATGTCACATGATTTGAGTAGATTTGAAGCGTTTTTTATTTTGGGAGGGGGGGTCCTGCCGCCAGCAGAGAAATCTGAGGAATCCCCCTCCCCAACAACAGTTTACGCTCTTTTACAGACCACTGTAGTCGTGCGTCATTCTGTAGTCCTCGTTATGCCCATATTAGGAACTCTGGGTCTGAGCTTGATTTCTCTATTCTAAAATGAATAGGGTTTTCAGAAAAATCGCCTCTAGCGCCCCCTGTGTTAAATACAAATGTTCAGAACCCGATACGTTCTGTCCTGTGAACATTCTTCTCCTGAACATCACTGGATCTTCTGAATTACGAGGTCGTTAAAGAGCTATAATACTAATATTGCTACATGTGAGCTAAAGCTAGTGCACATCAATCTGATGTCACTAAGCTACACAAAGCTAAAGCGGGCTGTGCCGATGCTGTGACGATGCTGTGACGAGCTGTGCTACCTTATCGAAATCTTCTACCGTAGCACATATTTACAGGTATACCTGTAAATAAAACCTCCTAATCACTTATCACTTAAAACTCCTTATCAAAAATACGACCCGTGTTGAAACTACGAGGCTGAAATTAGGTTTGAATGTTCCCGTTCCAAACAAGACAAAATACTGACCTGTTAGTTTGGTGAAACAGCAAAAATAAGTTAATGATGTTCAGCTGTTAAGCGGAAATAGAGAAACCTCCTCATATCAACTCTCCATGAAGCTGAATTTAGCTTTTTTTTTTGCCGACTGCTTGTTTGAATTTCCCCGTTCCACCTTAAATGGCGCAGCAGTTCAGAACGTGACTGCTGCACCATTTAAACCCTATTCATTCTGGCCATAGAGGAGTGAACCTCAGACCTGGAGTTCCTAATATGGGCATAAGAGCATGGCGCCCACTACAAAACTGACCCCACGACTACAGTGGTCTATTCAGCCAGTCTATAGAAATTGTAGCAGAAATGTTACAATTTCAGCAGAATTTTTTACATTTTTAGCAGAAATTTTAAACTTTTGTTGGTAGAACAGATTTGCAGCGTTTTCCTGAAGATTTCTGAATCAGGCTCGGTTTGGATTAGCACGCCACCAGATTCTACAGCAGCAAACTGATTAAGATGTAAACCGGCAACACTTTACAATAAGTGTTGACGAAATCATATTACAGTATTAAGTAATGCATTTGTTAACATGAACGACATATGAAGTACTACATTAATAATGGCCAATATTAAGCAAGCAAAAACTGCATTAGTTGATGTTGTGTTGACTAACATTTAATGTATTTAACATGAGATACTGATAATAATGGTTAGCTAACATCTCCAAAATGGTAACTTTACAGGAGAAAGATAAAACAACAACACTTTACTGTTAATGTAAGTCAGTGGAACCAAACTTTTGTCCAAGTAATTGTGGGCCGTTTCTTTTGGTCCATTCTTCATGAAATTTACACACAATGTAAAGAGTAACAGACATTTTTAAATTATGTCACAAACTGAAAAACCATCAAATGGAGATAGGAGGTTTTGTTCCGACAGCAGCGATATTTTGGCTCTAATTTCATGCTGTTGTGTTGGTCAGCAGAGGAGCGACCGGCGGCTGAGGAGACACTTTAAATGTAAGTATTGGGTTTAAACTGAGTCGAATAGCGAACGAAACAGATGTTAAAGATGTCAATGTGGTCTGAAGTAAAACTTATGTTAACGTTTCGTTTTGTTTTAGGGAGCAAAGAGCTGACAGGGAGGAGCATCTCCAGCTCTAATAAATGAAAAAATAAAAAACTGAAATCAAAGTTTCTCCATGTTTAAAGAACTTTAAAAGAACTTGATAAGAGCGGCGTTTCGTGACGTGACAGTAAGGGCACGACCAGTGGTGCTGTGATGCAAACAGGAAGTCCGCCGCAGAGCAGACCGTCTCATTTCGGTTCAGCCTCCGTGGGTCTACACAGCCTTCGAAGACACGCCTTCGTAGACCGCGTCCTTCAAAGGATGCAGCCCTTGAATTGGGATACAGCCCATGTGAAAACATTAACTAATACAGTTGTTACTTGTGTACTTAATATTAGCTAACTGTCATTCATGTAGTACCTCATGTTGTTCATGTTAGCAAATGCATTACTTAATATTAATAAGTTAACACTTTATGTAAAGTGTAAGTGTTTTTTATTCTCGTTGGCATGTAAAATTCTACAGTTTGACCATCTATGAATCAAATATTTGCTAACGTGCTGAAGTGAGCTAAAGTTAGCGTTGACTAAGAAGAATAGCGCAGAACAGAGGAATAACGGAATGCGAAGAGTTTGGGCTTCTTTTTCACGTAAATGATTTCTTCGAAGGACAGGTAAAAAATGTTAGTCATAAATTATTTTTGGTAACTAAAACAATCAGTTCTGACTTGGTTTTCATGAAAAACGGATGCGTCTTTAAACTTTTAGAACACAATTTCTCCAGAAAAGTTTAGGAACCGTCTACAAATGACATCTCAGTCATGGCCTCTGTTTATAATTACAGTTAAAGAGGGGTCTCAAAATGAGACTGACTTTTTGATTTTGGTGTAAATCACACACAGTTAAGTCACCTGTAGTTGAGTTAGCTTCATATGTTAAAGTCGTATTGTTGAAATTGTTTTCTCTTGTCTTTATTTCATTATATATCTTTAAAAAGACAAGTATTGTTGTAAAAGTAACAGAAATTGATTGAAGAATCAATCAATCGACCTTTATTTAAACTCCGAATACATTGAGGGAGACCCTCATTTACAATGCAGCTGAGCCAATACAGAAATCGGGGATTGAAAACTTGGGTAGTAAAAAGAAAACATTATAATAAAGTAATAAATATCATAATAGTAAAATTGAATTATAAGAAGGTACCAATAAACTGTTAAATCAATAAAACATTAAAATTACAATATAGTAACTTAACAAGAAATAGATCAGATAAGGATAAAATGAATAAAAACATGAATTAATGAAATATAAAGAAATAGAAGATGTAAGAGAATAAAATAAATAAAAGGAATAAAGAATAATAAAAAACATACATTTTTTAAGTTTATAAAACATTCCAGTAAAGTACAATGAAGCCATTTTTTTTTTTTTTATGATTTTAACGATATGCAGAAAAGTGTATTGTCACATCATTTATCACGATAATGATACAATATCAACATATTGCCCACCTCTAATCATACTCATGTAGTTTTACAGCCTTTTTGAATCTAGAACTTCTGTTTTGTGGCTGCATTTTGTCTACAAGAGAAATATTTTCGACATATATTGAATATCGTAAAACTAAATTATCGAGATGTTACAGTTTGGCCATATCTCCCGCCCATAGAGAGAGAGTGTCTATGTGTATGTGATACCTGCTCCAGAAGCTCTACTCTGCTCCTGAGGATCTGGACTTCCTCTGTAACGTTCTCCATCAGCCCCACACCTCCACCTTCAACACAAACACCTTCATCAGAGCCAAACACCTCACCCCCACACACATGCATACACCCATAAACATGACCTGCACATAAAGCAGACTGAATAGAGTGTAAATAACACTCCAGTGTGAGTGTGTCACTGTGTTAGTGTGAGTCTGTGAGAGTGTGTGTGTGTGTCCAGACACGTTTCCTGCTGTAAGGCTGTGGTCAGTGTGATTAATATGCCGAGAGAAGCCAGAGCGTGCAGTGGAGAGAAGAACCGGTCAGAAAAAAGAGGGGGAGAGGAGGAGTTTTGGGGCGAAAGAGGGAAATTTATTAGTCGGGGTGAAAGTGATGACAAATCCATAAGTTTAGTAGCGTAGAGGGGGAGCTGGGGGGGATCTGGAGGGGGTGAGAGACACAGGCGGGCATTCTCTCTCTCTTTCTCTCACAGTCATACACAAAAAAACAGTTTATATAATGGATAATTCTGGCTCTAAAATCTGACTCTAGCTGTAAACTCGATACGCACACATTTGACCGCACACAGCAACCGAATTCCGTATTAAAGTGGCGTTCCGGCCTAAAACGAGCTGTGCAGTGCTCTGAGGCCAGGGTTAGGTTGGGAGGGATCTACAGATTTCTGATTACCTGCTGAAAGAAACTCATCTGTAACCCAGCGCTGTTCAACAAAGACTCCAGACAAACAAACTAAAATCAGTCAACCGTGACAATGGCTACCTTTAAATGCTGAATCACAAGTATTTATCCAGGCAACTAATAAAATAAAATGATATTTTATCATGAAAATATATTTTAATAAATTGTTTCATTTTATAATAGGATTTCAGCTGCTCAACAGTTCAGGGGCTCATTTATCGTATTTTTCATTTCATAATGCGCCAAATGTTTTCAGTGGTGACAGGTCTGGACTGTAGACAGGTCAGTTTAGCACCCGGACTCTTTTAATACAGAGCCATGCTGTTGTGATACATGCAGAATGTGGTTTGTGATTGTCTTGCTGAAATAATCAAGGCCTTCCCTGAAAAAGACGTCGTCTGGATGGCAGCATATGTTGCCAAAACATGTATATATCATTCAGCATTAATGGTGTCTTCACAGATGTGCACATCACCCATGCCATGTGCACTAATGCCCCCCTGCACCATCAGGAATACTGGCTTTTGAACTGTGCACTGATAACAAACTGAGTGGTCTTTAGCCTGGGGGGACACAGTGTCCATGATTTCCAAAAAGGATTTCAAATGTTGATTCATTGGGCCACAGGACACTTTTCCACTTCCCCTCAGTCCATTTTAAATGAGCTCAGGCCCAGAGAAGGTGGCAGCATTTCTGGATCTTGTTTATATTTGGTTTCAGTGATGAACTGTTTTCACAGACAGTGGTTTTCAGAAGTGTTTCTGAGCCCATGCAGTGATTTCCACTACAGAATCATGTCTGTTTTTAATGCAGTGCTGCCTGAGGGTCCAAAGATCACGACCAGCAAATACTGTTTTTTGGTCTTGTCCCTTACATACAGAGATTTCTCCAGATTCTCTGAATCTTTTAATGATATTATGTACCGTAGATGATGAAAAGCAGAAGTTCTGAGTGGTGAACCCCTCCTCATCTTTACTTCTGAAAGACCGAGATGCTCATTTTATACCCAATCATGTTACTGACCTGTAGTAACAGATTAGTAGTAGGTGTAGGTTTTGCCTTGAAGTTAAGGTTAGGGTTAGGTTTAGGTTTAGGGGCAGATTTAATAGAATCTTTCACACACAACTTCAAGTTCAGTTGCATTTAACAGATATTTAGTTAAATGTTAGTTATCTACAAAGCATCTACAGTGGACCACCAAAATAAAGTGCTACCTTTTTTTTTATACAGAATCTAAAAATGCCAGCTGCCCTTTACAACATAGTAAAATATCAAGATGAATGGACCAATAGAAAAACTAGTTCCATTAACTTCCATTCAAAGTTAAGAATGTTTGTATCTCTTGTAAAGTTACCATTTTGGAAATGCAAGGTTTTGTTCCAACAGCAGCGATATTTACACAGAGGACTCATGGGGCATACAGTAGTCATGTATGTAATGTATGTAATAAAGTGCATGTGCATGTAATCAATGTATGTAATAATTGATTATGTGAGGCAGGTGTTGCTAGGTGGTTGCTATGGTATCCTAGGTGGTTGCTAGGGGGTTGCTTAGTGGTGGCTATAATATCCCACATGACTGACTGTAAAGAACCGCACATCCAATCAAAAAGCTGTATACAAGCACACCATTCCCATTCAGGCTCAACATTCTGGAGTTGGAACTCCGATATCTGGAGCACTGTGGGACAATACTTGACAAAAACCCAGCAGAACTCTGCCTTCACGGAGTTGCATTGGTGTAGAAATTTCACTCTATTTGTTCCCATCCTAATATTTCCCCACATTTAGCCCAAACCTCTCTTGGTTGTCCCAGAATACGTCTGACCCCGAGAGACTAAGGAGAGACTAGAGCTGCAGGCCCTTGCCCTCGACTCCTGATTGGACAGTCAGCATCAGAATGAAAACCAGTTAATAACACACTTTATACACACACACACACACATACACACACACACACTAATGTCTGGTCAATGTGTCCCAGATGTGTGTTGTTATGGGCATGAGAGAGAGAGAGCGAGTGAGAGAGCTTGAAGGAAAGCAGTAACCCCCAGCAGACAGAGCTGATGGGTCTGGAAGGAGAAGCAGAGCGCTGAGCCAAAACTGAGAGCGAAAATAGAAAGAAAAAGAAAAGAATGTTGAGAGCTCTAGATTCCATGTGAGGGAGGACAAAAGGAGTCTGCCTCTCTCTCTCTGTCTCTCTCTCTCTCTTTCTGTCTATCGCTCTTTCCTCTATTTGTCTCTCTGACTTTCTTTCATTCTCTCTATTTATGTATCCATCTATCTGCATGTCTGTCTATATCTATCTATCTATCTATCTATCTATCTATCTATGATATGATATCTATGACATGAGGTCATGAAAACGTATAGTACTCTCTCTCCCTCTATCTGTCTCTCTCACATTTGTCTCTCCTTTTCCCTTACTCTCTCTCACTTCTTGCTTTTGTGTGTCTCTCTATGTCTTGTCCTTTTCCTTTCTTTCTCAGGGTCTGTCTCTGTTGTGTATGAGAGAGAGAGAGAGAAAGAGAGGGGCTTAATTAGAGGGCAGAGACTTACTGAGTGCTGTGTAGAAAGACTAATATACTCGAGAGAGAGAGAGAGAGAGAGAGAGAGAGAGAGAGAGAGAGAGAGAGAGAGAGAGCACTTTCAGTGTGGCCTTAATGGGAGCAGGTCAGTGCTCTGATGCTGCCCTCCAGATGCTGCTGTATTCCCTGAGCTCTGAGTGTGTGTGTGTGTGTGTGTGTGTGTGGCCTGTAGTCCTCTGCACTCTGTGGAGTTTTGAGCACTGTGGGAACAGGAGCTCTAAAAATACAGCGTCCCGGCTAACGCACCAAACAGGGTCCGCTTGGCAGTCCGGTGCAGTAGAGAACACGTGAAGCAGCAGTACATCACGAAAGTACTCGACGTAGCAGCTCTGGTCACGGCCAGTCTTTCTTTGCCGGACCAAAACGAGTTTTCGAACCTGCTGAGTGATACAAGCCTCTCTAGCATCAGGGCTAGCTGGCTAACACAGTCTGTCCCAAGTACAGCCTGGCATTGGCGTCATGCAAATGAATGTAGACCCCAATACTGCAATAACTTCCCAAATAATGTAATAAAAACTGCTCTTCACTTAATATGTAATAACTTGCCCAAAGTGATGCAGTGCCTTAATTGATGTAACGATACTTTTACTGATAATATAATATCTTATTACATTATTGGGAATTTATTACATTGACCATATGTAATGCTTTATTACATTACTGATGGTGTATTATATTTGGAAGTTGATCATTTTTGCTCAAATTTGGTTTCAAAATGGATTTTGAGAGCAGTTACCAAAGATCTCCCGCAGTGCTTCTGTGGTGTACTCAGGAATCAACCCTGCCTGGAATGAGAGGAGCTCAACCTCCACTTTTAAGAGTTTTTTATAAGACTGGTTCTGGATACGACTCTAACCGTCCAAGTCTGGATAAAGTAATGAAGTCTTATGAAAATCAGATGAAAGATATTATATTTATGATAGAAAACAAAACAGTCGAATTTGACTGGAACACAACTGGAGGGCTGGCGCTGACCCTTCTGTTCTTCTCAATAATGTACTATGTATTACATTCTAGGGAACGTATTACTGTCACTGGGTTCTACAAAGGTGAGTGCAGTAGTGTGGTTTTCTCACATGTAGGCTAGTGCGCTAACACCCAGCCACGGACGGAACGCGTGTTTGGGCCACATCCAAGGCCAATCAGAATGACTAGACTCCGCTTTATCTTGCTAGGATACACTAAACGCTTTCACAGTTTGTCTGGTATTATTGTAGGTTGAGATGCATATGAAATGTTTTGGGATGGGGGAGAAAGATGGAGTGGAAAACAGGGGAAAAGAAGCCTTTTAAGGGGATGGAGTTTTGCCAAGAAACTCTAGCAGGCAGAAAACCAGTCTCAGCTTGAGAGAGACGGATATACGGACGGAGGAAAGCGAGATATAGATGGATAGATAAAGTAAGTGGGGGAGAGAAAGAGAGAGGGGCCTGCATCAGACTGGTTATTGTGGTTTTCAGCAGCTCAGGAAATGAAAACTGTATGTGAAACAGAGGAGAGGAGGTAATGAGGAATGCGAGGAAGGTGAAAAGTGAGAATGGTGGTCTTCGGTGGGTGTTTGTTGGGCTGAGTGTGTTTGCTGTTCGGTCCACTAGACGCAGCCACCAGCCACAGTGCACTATTACTCACGGTACGAGTTGAGAGCGGCATAGCGCGTACCAGAAGTAATAATGGACCGTGATACTGGCTGATGTCCTCCATCCAGCAGGGGGCGCTAACAGCAAACCTCGCTTGCTAAATTTACAGTTACTCAGTTACACAGCAAGTGGTCCAGAGCCGGTTTACGAGGTGCGTGGCCGCTTCCTATTTCCCCCGTTATATCAAAAACACGACTGCAAAACAGCAGAGGGCGCCCATGAGCGAGTCCTCAATGCATGGGAGTAAATGGAACTTTTTTGAAAGTAGAAGGATGGATTTCACTAAAAAAGCAAAAAAAAAAAACTCACCTGTATGTTTCCTTTTTTTCTACAGCAAACAGGTTTTGGGCAGCAGGACGCCAACATTACTGCTACTGAGCACTGATTGGTTGGTGAGCGGAGCAGCTCATTGGCTGTTCACGCTCACATAGGTCATGAAAGTACATGAGACGCCGAATGATTGTATTCTTTTACAGTAAAAAAAGTTTAGGCATGTATAAACTATGATTTTGTTCAAATGCTCCATATTAACCCATTCATTTTGGACTCGGGAGCGCCCTCTAGTGTTTGAGAAACCCGGAAGACATTACAGAGTGTAATTTTCCTCTCTACAAGTTCTCTGGAGTCCTTATAAGGAAAGTCTGCTCACTCTGCGGCAATCTTTGCAATGGGCAGTTATTTCCAGTCACGCAAGAGACCCAAAAAATTAAACTAAAAGCCACATCATTGCTCCAAAAACAGATTTGAAGTAGTTTGTATTTTTGGCTCACACAACACACAAAAAACATTTTTTTTTTCCAGCTTGTTCTTGTGCAAATCTCCACAGCGAGGGGGGCTTCCCCTGCTCGCAGCTGGCAAGCCTATTGGCTCTTTTTCTTGAAGGGCGGGACTTTTCCTGTAAACAGACAACATGTTGAGTGCTAAGAGCTTTCCCATTCATATTTCAGCTGGTGACCGGACAGTCCTGCCTTCCATTTTAAACACTTAAGACAGCATCTTCAGACGTTACACTACTGTAGTAGCTCAGATCAAAGTCTTTAGAGGACAGTCTGTTCACAAGATCAAATTACCGTTTGACAAATGTTTAAAATGACTGATAAAATCTGACGGAAAACATAAACAGTTTGTAGCGTCTGGCTCACAATCTCCGTTCTAGTTCATCCCAAAGGTGTGTGATGGGGTTGAGGTCAGGGCTCTGTGAGGGCCAGTCAAGTTCTTCCACACCAAACTCCCCCAGCCAGGCCTTTATGGAGCTGCTTTGTGCTCTGGGACTCAGTCATGCTGGAACAGAAAAGGTTCTTCCCCAAACTGTTCCCACAAAGTTGGAAGTGTACAGTTGTCCAGAATGTCTTGGTGCTGAAGCATTAAGATTTCCCTTCACTGGAACTAAGGGTTCTAGAACAACCCCTGAAAAACAACCCCATATCATCATCCCTCCTCCACCAAACTGTACAGCTGGCACAGTGCAGTCAGGCAGGTAACGTTCTCCTGACCTTCGCCAAACCCAGACTCTCCATCAGACTGACCGATAGAGAAGTGTAGCTTTACACCACTCCATCCAACGCTTGGCAACATGCATTTTGATTTTAGGCTTGTGTTCAGCAGAGGATAGGCACTTCAGCACTCGGTGGTCTGACGCTTTGCGGCTGAGCTGTTGTGGCCTGGATGCTTCTATTTCACAATAATAGCACTTGCAGTTGATGGGCAGATCTAGCAGGACAGAATTTCACAAACTGACTTGTGGCAGAGGCGGCATCCTATAACAGAGCCATGTTTAAAGTCACTGAGCTCATCAGTGCGACCCTCTACTGCCAGTGTTTCACTATCAAGACTGCAAGGCTATGTGCTAAATTTTATCCACCTGTTAGCGATGGGTGTGACTAAAACACCTGAAATCAATTAGGAGGGGTGTCCCAATACTTTTGTCCATATAGTGAGCAACATTTTTTAAACAATTATCTCCTGATACTGAAATGATTTGGATATCATTGTGCATCCCTAGTCAGAGTCCCCAAGGGGCTCCGGGACCAGGGTTGGGAAAAACTGGTGCAGATGATGAAACCACAGTGGATGTATTGTGTCATGTGTAACATATTTCAGGAATGGTTGGTTAAACTTGAGGGTAACTACAGAGGCCCATTCTTTGTGGTTATATTAGCAACACTCATAAACGAATAACTGAGAATGCCCTGCAGATGTTTTTTATCCACACGGAGTGCGAATGCGACCACATACACACAAACACACTACACACACACACACACACAAAGTATTGTATGCATTGTTCAGACAAGCACCACCAAAAAGGCATTTACACATATTGTAGAATGTAATATGTGTAAATACGAACTGATATGACCTGAGAATGACCTCTTTGTATCTATTTGGAGTGCGAAGGCTAATAAATACACATAAACATGCACCACACACAGTTAGGACATACAGCCGTATGCAAAAGTTTGAACTTTTGGATTTCTAAGTAAAAATGAGGTAGCACGTCCTCTACAGATAAGAGATGACATTTTCTGGAAATTTTAGTTTTTATTATTTGGTTTAACATATTAGAAAAAAATATACCTAAAATATTAAACATGCCGTAACTTTAGCTTAGGCCACATGATTTTTTGTCCTCCCCAATATATTAAATTAAGCAAATAAACAGTAATTGTGCATTAAAATGTGCAGAATTGTGTTCTCTGTACAGGAAGTGTTCGCTTATTTTTGCTTAGAAAATCAACCACAACATGGACTCAAACATTTGTAAACAACTGTACACAAAACGTTTATGAGTTTACAACACAAATCATTAATGCAACAAATGTTTAAATGCTCTTAACGCATTTTTTCAAGGCATTAATTTCACTCTCCGCCCCATCTGTAGCAGTGCAGGCTGAAGCTCAGCTGCGATGCGCTGTATGTTGTTCTGATAAAACTCGTGATTGTATCGCTTTCATTAAAATACAGCTTTTAAACATATTTTAAAGTGAAACTTTCAGCATCGTCAGCTGGCCACACTGGACAGACACTCACAGGAGAACTGTGGATAAATCAATGAGCAGCAAACTAACAAAAGCAACAGTTTGGTAGAGCTTCAGTTACCCTCGAGAGCTACAATCACAGAGGAACCAAGCCATAGACTGTATATACGATATATAAAATATATAAGATGTAAACACTCACTGACTGCATAAATAATATGTCTGATATATACACTCATTGACTGTATTTATGGTGTTTGTGTATGTGTGTGTTTAAAATATATACAATGTGCCTGATATATACACTCATTGACTGTATTTATGGTGTTTGTGTATGTGTGTGTTTAAAATATATACAATGTGCCTGATATATACACTCATTGACTGTATTTATGGTGTTTGTGTATGTGTGTGTTTAAAATATATACAATGTGCCTGATATATACACTCATTGACTGTATTTATGGTGTTTGTGTATGTGTGTGTTTAAAATATATACAATGTGCCTGATATATACACTCATTGACTGTATTTATGGTGTTTGTGTATGTGTGTGTTTAAAATATATACAATGTGCCTGATATATACACTCATTGAGAATATACATGATATAAAAACTCACTGACTGGATAATGATATGATATAATCACTCACTGACTGTATACATGTTGTAAATGATATAAACAATTGTATATGTGATATAAATAATATATGCAGTCACTGAATGTGAAAATGATATATATGATGTTTACACTCATTGACTATATATATGGCATTTACACTCATTGACTGTATATATAATATATAGGATATATACACACATAGGTTGGAACATGCAAACGCTGTTGCTCTCACTGGACGTTGGTGGTGAAAACCGGAAAAGTGTGTTCACTCTGTGGGGATCATATGATCTTCATGTTGAAGGTGTGTGTTCATATAACGTTACTGACTTATTAAAAGTAATTAATACATTCTTTTAAAGATTATTTTGTCAATAAAATCTGCAATTAATCGCGATTAACTACACAAAATAGTGCGGTTAATCAAAAACTATTGTCATTTTTGACAGCCTATTGTAGGATTCACACACATAGAACGCACTCACATGTTAATATAAACATTATAAAAACCTGTGAAACATATCAGCCATGTTCAAACGTGCTGGACATGGGAACAGGTGTAAAAGACGGCAAAGGCCACTAAAAGGTCAAAAGGTTAAGCTGACATCTGTTTGGCCCTTGTATGTGTCTGAGTGAGTGAATGGGTTTCCACACCAGGCTTCTAATCATAGATTAGAAGCCTGGTGTGGAAACCTGGGATAGATTGTTATGTCTGGATGGGTGATGCTCACCTGCATCGCTGCTGGTGGGTGGGCGATCGTTTGCTTTGGGCTGGCTGGCTGGTGTGGGGGAGGGAGGAGGACTCTGACACGACCGTCCATCTTCCGCTAAACGGAATCCGTCGGCGCACACGCACCGATAACTTCCTGCAGAGTTCACGCACTGCTGAGCGCAACCATGCGACCCCCGACACTCATCCACATCTGGGGGGGGTAAAAACACAGAGGACGTTAGACCCAGTCCATCATTTTGGCACATTTTCTCAAATTTCACTTGTTTGTCGTTTAGTAACTGCATCCAGATGTTTTCAGCGTGAACTGGGATTTTCTCTGGACATTTTCACTAAAGCTGAACGTTCAGTCTTCAGAAGAGTCTCAGACAGTTGACACCACGCTGATTAGTTCCTGCTGTTGAAATGTGTCTGTGTGTGTGTGTGTGTGTCTGTGTGTGTGTGTGTGTGTGTGCGTGTGTGTGTGTGTGTGTCTGTGTGTGTGTGTGTGTGTGTGTGTGTAAGCTTGCAGGAGTGTAAGTTTATTTTTACGTATTTGCAGAAGTTTGTACACCGTTCAAACGTTTGGAATCATTATTTTAGTTCGGGATTCAAAAGTTTGGGATCACTATTCAGGTTTGGAATCATCATTCAAACGTGTGGAATCATCATTTCACTTTGGGATCACCATTCAAAAATCTGGAATCACAAATCAGGTTTGGAATCACCATTCAAAAGTGTCCACTCACCATTCAGGTTTGGAATCACAGTTCCAAAGTTTGGAATCTATATTCAGGTTTGGAATTGCCATTCCAATTTTTGGAATCACTATTTTATCTTAGAATCACTGTTCAGATTTGGAATCACCAGTAAAAAAGTACTGAATCACCATATAAGTTTGGAATCACCATTCAGGTTTGGAATTGCCATTCAAACTTTTGGAATGACTATTTTAGCTTGGGATCACAATTCCAGAGTTTGGAATCATCATTCAGGTCTGGAATCACTTATTGTATGGTATTGTATTGGAGCTTATGTATTTCAGTCTACACTGTGTACGATATGAGTGAATAAAACTGCTGCAATTATTAATGTGACGTGATTACAAATGTATGAACAGTAGTGTATCTTGTGTGTGTGTGTACCTATCTGGCAGTAGTGTCCAGTCCAGCCTGTCGGACACGTGCAGTGATTTGGCCTCATGCAAGATCCTCCATTCACACATGCCTGCACACACACCGCTACGGACAAAGAGAAGAAAAGTTGCACACACACAGTTAGAGAAGGAGAGAGCGGCGGCGGCAGTGTGATTGAACCCAGCAGGCTAAGCCCACTCATTTTTAACATGGCCCACCCAAACCAACCACTCAGATTTACTTTCAATATTAAAATAATATGAATAAATAAACCAAAACACAATCAGAAAAATGTACATTTTGGACACTGACCAATCAAAATAAATGAAGATAAACGTAAAGAAGACCGTTACATAGACTTAAAAATGGAAGTGGCAGTTATTCATTCAGCACGAAACCTGCCGATGTCCGTTCTGAATAATAAAACAGGCTTTCTCATTTATTTCTCTGCTGGTTTTACTGGTAAAATACTTTTAGCCTCTTAACACCAGATTCAGCCTCCATCCTTACGTTCATTTCAGCTGGCGTACTTTTCTGGCTGTTTTTTTGTCCTTAGCTGTGGTTAACTGGACTGCCCTTCTTGTGGATATTTCATATATAAAACTAGTAACTACAGCTATCCAGATATGAACACGGCCCAATCACCAAGCGGCTAATCTAGTATGAGCTCTGGGTTTTGCAGGTTTCGGTCAACTAATGAGCCGCTCTGTCCTACTTCTAACTGGACATGAACAGCTGTGAGTTTGAGAGCTGCTTCTTACCGTGGTTACAGTTGTGCGAGTGTAAGCGGCGCCATCCCGGACAGCATTCTGGGTAAAAGGGAGTGCTCTGCACCACTCTGGTCACCTGTCTGTAGGACACCTTGTACACTGTCCTGCAACACCCACACATTGTTCACTGTCAGGGTCCGATCATCAAGAAATCACAGACCTCACATTCTCTCCAGTATTACACTCAGAATCAGACACTGAGTGCGTTTACATGACATTACACTCAGCACAAAAACTCCAGACTTTCTACACTGAAACTGGACACCTGAAAGGTTTTTATAGACTCATGGGTCTAAATTTGTAATCGATTACTTGGATTGTGATTCACAGAAAGTGCTAAACCAGCTTCTAAGACTGAACTTTGGAGGTGTGTCTGCAGATTCTTTGAGGAACTGAAAGTGAGTCTCCTGAAAAGAATGGAAGCTGGAATAAAGGTAGAGAGTGACTCACTGACTCACACAGCTGAGACTAGATTTAGTTGTTGAGGCTTCTGCATTATATTTCGTTAAATATGTGCGTTTTTTTGCTTTTTTCCTGTTGCAGAAAAATGAGTAACTTATACTTTGTGATCATTTTGACTGGAAATCCATAAATGAGGGGTGGTTGTTATTATTTTGACTGTCTACACCAGAATATTGGAGTTAAATTCGGATAATGAACATGAAAGTGCAGCCGTTGATTGGATGCTAATTGCCCCCAAATTGGGTGAACAGTGTAGAAATTACAACCATTTTCATACATTGCTAGGGCCTCAAAAGTAATTGGACAATTGGCTGCTCAGCTCTGCAATGTCCAGCTGTGTCTTATTTTATCAATTATTTCACTTACAAGTAAACAGAGCTGGTTCAAGTGGGGTTCATATTCATTATTTAATTTCAACTGTGAGTTATTTGAGTTATTATTACAACTGTATGTATGTAGATTTATATATAATATATGTGTGTTCATACTTGTAGGAGCTACACAGACGGTGGTTGGGGCACATGGTGATGTAGGGTTTGTGTACAGGCTGGATGAAGGACTCTGTACTGGACACCACTCTACTGCTGCCAGCGCTGCCAACACACACTCTCCTCCTGCAGGACACACACACACACACACATTAACAGGTACAAAAGTTTGAACACCCCTGGTCAGTTTACATGTTTTGTAGATCTTCGAAGTGAAAATAAGTTAACACATTCTCTACAGCAGGGCTATCAAACTCTAATTACCTGGGGGCCACTAGCCAGGTGGTCTTTTCCGAGAAGAGATGATTAAAAAAAGCGGAAAAAGTGTCCCGTATTTTTTTTTTAAACTACATACTGCATAGACTCATTTCAGTGCATCTTATTCAATGTTTCTTCCCAAATCCTCTGTCACCACAAATCAGTGGTTCCCAAACCTGGTCCTGGAGGACCCCCAACACCCCACCCTGCACATTTTAGTGTCTAGGAAGAACCAAAGTGTGTTGGGTTGTGTTGAGTTGTGTTGGGTCGAGCCTCGTTCTCCGTCGGTGTGTGTGCTGTGAATGTGTGGTAATTGCTGCTGATTAGTTGATGTAATTGGCTGTTACACATGCCAGACGAGGCTGTGACTCCTGACCTCATGTAAACCTTGACCCGTCTGGGTCACAAACGAATGTTCATTGTTAAGATCTGTGTGTGTCTAAACACTTCAGGCATCATGACTTTGTGGATGAATCTGTCAAAATATCACACATTTACTAAAGATTAGAAATCATAAGCCTCTCTCACTCGCTCTGTCTGTCAGTCTGTCTCTCTCTCTCTCTCTCTCTGTCTCTCTCTCTCTCTGTTTTCTTTCTCTCTCTCTCTCTCTCACCCACACTCATGGTCTCTCTAGTTTTTTTCTATTTCTCTTTTCTTTCTCTCTCTCTCTTCTTTCCGTGTCTAACATACACAGTCGAGTCACCTTATTATGACCACCAGCTAATATCCAGAGTAACCGCTGTGGGCAGCACGCACCAGCAGCTAGATGGGCTGGGAGTGACTCACTAAGGTCCTGGTAGGTTGTCACAGGTATCTGGAGCCATGCTGACTGCAGTCCATCCCACAGCTGCTGGAAGGTGCGTGGGGGAGGATCCATAGAGCAAACATGACGATTGAGGTGGTCCCACAGAAGCTCAATTGGGTCTGGGGAATTAGGGGGCCAGGGTCATATTTGGAAGTCTTGGTCATACCCGAATCGGTTGAGAGTGCCTCCCACATGGATGAGTGGGCCCAGATATATATGTATATATATATATATATATATATATATATATATATATATATATATATATATATATATATATATTCAATTCAATTATAAAATGATTATCGATGCATCTTTTTATCTGTTCAGGATTTCTTTTTTCTCACTGTGTGACAACTTGGAACTTTTAAAGCACAGTATTTATAATGATCCATAATGAATTTACTTCTAAACAAATGGAAGTGATGTGGCAAGTGAAGCGATGTGGCTCTTGTTTGGAGCACATGAGACGCTGGCAGCAGTAATAAAATAAGATCCTGTGGCGATTTTCTTCAGTGATTTCATAACTTCGGTTTTGGTCTCGTTGTAGAGAGGGGAGGGTCGTTGTGTCAGTAAAATATCTTTGAGACGAGACGCTGCATCTCGGCTCCAAAGTGTCCAACATAGCGCGAAAGCCCTGGTTCTCAAAGACTGAGTACGGGCGCAAATCCTTGGCAATAAAAGTTGTGATAGAGTTTGAATTTCCGAGTTGGGTCAAAGTTTTGACATCGCTTGATCGATGGTGCTCTGGTTGGCAGCAACTACAACCGGGCGGAAAATGGGTGGAAACATATAATATGGTTTTCTCCCTCAACTGCACAGAAGCCAAAGTGCTTCCATACGCTGGCTCAGGTGTCGGCAACCTGCGGCTCCACAGCTGAATTAGAGTTGTAGGTAAAAATAAAATAATCCTCCTTTACAGTAAAATAAAGCTCTGCTGATCGTTCAACACAGTTTAACAATAAATGGTCTTAAACGCTGGAGTTAATGTAGCCTATAACCGCTAGTTCACCTAGCCAGCTAGTAGCTAACGAAAAGGCAAAGAGAAAGATTTAAGATGAACTTCGATAATTTGGAGACTAATAGATGTTTATAATCACTCCAGTTGGTTTAATCTGCAACAAGAAACAGTCAAACACTAAAAAAACATGAAGCTGAAGTTTCTCGTTCTCCAGCTTCTTATTTGAATTTTCCCGTTCCACCTTAAATGGTGCAGCAGTTACATTCTGGCGCCTCAAGCACCATTTAAGGTGGAATGGGAATATTCGAACGAGAAGCTGGAGAACGAGAAACTGACTACAGCCTCGTAAAAGGTACAGCACTGAGAGACATTTTACAAGAAACTGTTCTACTTTTGTGTTAAAGTTTCCTGCCAGAGATGTGAGAAAAGCGGCTACAGCTGAGCTAAAGCTTAAAGCAGAGCAAAGTGAGTCTGAGTTTTTGTTTATATTATATTTTTTTGCCTATACTAGGACATCAGCACATACTGAGACATATTTACAGCCAAGATGGTAAACTGGACTCAATGTTGAGGCTCCCAAAGTGGTTTGATTTGTTGAATGGACAAAATGACTCTTATTAACATTTGGGTTGCGACCCCTGCACTAGGTTTTAATGTAGTGTGCCTCCATAGACTGTCCGGGCGCTGCACTTCTGCACTTCGCAAAGTTCCGCCTTTTGCGATCCGTCAACATTACGTTATCAATTAAAATAATAAAAAAAAATACATTTTTGACATTTGTGAACCGATTCAGAATTGTCCACATCTGCATTGCGATGCATCTAAGAATCGATTTTTCCTACCACCCCTATATACATATATATATATACATATATATAAAATATACATATATATATATATATACATATAAATATATATATACATATATATATATATATACATATATATATATATATATATATATATTAGTTACTGTCGACAAAACTTAGTATGTCCATTTTTTTTCTTTTGTTTCTTTTTTTACTGATTTAAAATGATTTATCTTATGTCAAAATTTCATGATGAACAGACTAACAGAAATAATGCAAAAAATTACTTCAAATATATCATTTCTCCACAGACTTCAAGTAAAAGTTAGGAAGGTTTTTCTTCTCCTGTAAAGTCACCTTTTTGGAGATACGAAGTATGTTTTGCTCTTACAGTGACAATATGTGCGTGTATTACTTTTGAATGCCAGTATGTTTGGTTTCTGTAGTGCACAGCTTTAGTTTTAGTACTGGAGCTATGAGGCTAACAAGTGTAGCTAACAAGTAATAGTAGCTTATACCCCATCAATTAGCATAGCTAACTGCACGCTTATCATCATAGACTCTCCTCAAATCACCTGGAGATTTTCAGTGACCTCTAATGGCCTTGATTATGAGTCTATAAACATGGACTAAAGTAGGGCACGGTTAAAGCAACCGGAGTATCAGGCACACTTTACACCTCCAAAACTCCAAACATGCACTGGCTGAAATAATAACAACAACAACAACAACAACAACAATAATAATAATAATAATAATAATAATAATAATAATAATAATAATAATAATAAAGTAAGTAATCAGAAACAGTAGTTACCCATAGTGACTGTAGATCTGAGGAGTGCAGCTCACATAGAGCAAGAAAAGAAAAGAGGAGAGGAGAACTGCACAGTACATCTCTCTCTCTCTCTCTCTCTCTCTCTCTCTCTCTCTCTCTCTCTCTCTGTTCTTTGTGGTTCTGGCAGGCAGAAGTTTGTTCAGGGTCCTCGTTCACCTCCAAGCAGAATAACAATGCAACCTAGGGAGAGAGAGAGAGAGAGAGAGAGAGAGAGAGAGCAAGAAAGAGAGTTATGTTTCAGAGTGTTTCTGTCAGAAAGCATTAATGCACTAATGAATGCATGTTTACAAGATTCAGTTCATTTGCATCAGCGCTGAAACAATTAACTGTAACTAATGTCGACAATAAATACCGATATTTCTGTTTTCAGTTTTTTCTTACATTTTCAAAGTGATGTCCAGCTTAGAGCGAACTGACCACTTAACCTGAAGGAGGGCAGCAGTTCACTTATCGCATCGTACCTCTGTGAGCAGACGGCGCAAGAAAAAGAACAGTCATGGCCGAAAGTTCAAAAAGCAGTAAAGTCTTTGAGCTTTCCCTGCTGGTGTTCTGACAAACTGAGCTCCTTTCTGATTGATCACTAAGGCCCAATCCCAATTCACCCCTCGCCCCTACCACTGAGCCCTTACCCCTCCGTTTTGCACATTCATGTCTAGTGGTAAGGTGTCCCGATTTTAGTTGAGACAGCAGGGTAGCGCGAAGTGTTAGAGCTACATGATCCTCAAAACAGAGGATTTTCAGAGACCCCAAACAGAGAGTTATGAGGAAAGGAGAAAAACCAGCAAGATGAGCGACCAAAGAAACACACAGATGTGGGAATTTTATTTGTGAAAAATTACGATAACCACTGTATTATCTTGGTTTAATGTTGTTTCAGTCTATTATGCTCGTTTTCTTCATAACAAGCATAAAAACCGTGAATATTATGCTCACGTCTTGGTAGTAAATTTCCTGTTCCACCTTAAATACTGCAGCAGTTGTGATGCCTAAAGTGCCAGAATGTAACTGTGATGCCTAAAGTGCCAGAATGTAAGCCCAGCAGTGAGGAGCTGAACTTTACCCTCCTCTGCTGTCATTGCAGACTGGCAGGGTCGCCTACAGAGCAGCGCTAGTAGCTGTTAATGAAGTGATGCTCTTTTTATTTGAGGGTCCCATTTCAGAAGGAAGATTTCAGCCACTACCCTGTAACTCAAGAGGCAACACTTGAAAACAAGGGGAAGTGGTAACAATGAGAAATGGGACTGGGCCTATGAGTGATTTGTCAAAATGAGCTACAATCATCACTAAAGCTCATCACGTTACGTTACTAACGTTAGTCGCTGGAATATTCTGAGCCGTATCGGTTTCTGTTCATTAGAACGGATTAGCAGCTACTTCAAAACTGGACGTTCGGCCTGGTCAGCCTTACATACAGTAGCTAACCACATATGACTGCTGAATTAGCTGAGAATACAACTCATTTTGTAAATTTGAAACTCTTTAAAAAGATGGTTCTTCAAGGGTTCTTTAGTAAAGACACTGGTTCTATATAGAACCGTGAACACTCAAAGAACCATCTATTGTCCACAGTGTCTATTTGTCCACAGCTAGAACAGAATGCCCTGCTTTATAGAGGCTTTTTGCATAACAAAATAACCAATTTCACCTCACCGTCCCAAGACTTTTGCTCCTCACTGTACATACACACACAGACAGAGAGTGAAGCACAGACAAGTCTTTAACATTCACTCACATCCACACTTACACACTTCCTCTCACTTTATCTACAACCAAGGAAGGATAGACAGATAGATAGATAGATAGATAGATAGATAGATAGTCAGACAAACAAAAGGATAGACAGAAAGACAGACAGACAGACAAAAGGATAGATAGAAAGACAGACAGACAGACAGATAGATGTATACATAGACAGGTAGATAGATAGACAGATAGATAGATAGACAGATAGTTAGGTAGATAGATGGATAGATAGATAGATAGATAGATAGATAGATAGATAGATAGATAGATAGATAGATAGATAGATAGACAAAAGGATAGATAGAAAGACAGACAGACAGACAGATAGATGTATACATAGACGGGTAGATAGATAGATAGACAGATAGATAGATAGACAGATAGATAGATAGATAGATAGATAGATAGATAGATAGATAGACAAAAGGATAGATAGAAAGACAGACAGACAGACAGATAGATGTATACATAGACGGGTAGATAGATAGATAGACAGATAGATAGATAGACAGATAGATAGATAGATAGATAGATAGATAGATAGACAAAAGGACAGATAGACAGATAAATAGAAAGACAGACAGACAGACAGACGGATAGATCTATACATAGATAGACAGACAGATAGATACCTGTGATATGTTGTAATTTACTAATAAATGTGTTTCTTGTTTTTTCTTAAGCTGTAAAATGAATAATTTGTACACCATTGAATAGAAAATCACTGTATTTGTAGGTTTATTATTATTACTATTACAGTATTTTTCTGGGCAGCACTACAGGTTACGTTTTGTCAGCTCCAGCATATTAAATCTTAGAAAAATAAAATATCATGATGCATACTGTGTATCATGAAAATGTCTTGAAGTGGCATGATATAATATTTTGGCCATATTGCCCACTCCTACTGTACACAGTGTAGAGCAATTACACACACACTCATCTTGAGCAGCTTGCAGTAATCACCTCTTTAATTCTACTTTAACGAGGTCAGCCGTGGGGCTGCAGGGCTCTCCACAGAGACACTATAACAACACCCTCGGCGTCCACAACCAGCCTACGAGAGAGAGAGAGAGAGAGAGAGAGAGAGAGAGAGAGTGTACTGGTGTGTGGCCTGTAAGATTCGTCTGCGCTTCTAACAGCACCTCTGAGATTAATGAGCCTCTCTGAAGCCCTGCTGGGTTTCATGTTTTACCTCTTTATATCTGAACCTGTGCTCCTGCAGAGGAGTGGCTGTGTGTGCGGTAACTCTAAAACACAGCCATGTGGGCCACAGACTGCCTGTATTAGGCAACAACATAAGAGGATAATGATGAACGTTGGAAGGTTTGATCAAGGAAAACATCATAGCTTCATATGCGAAACTTGCTTAAAGCAGCCTTGCCTGTGCTTTAGAACTGAAAGAGCTGCAGCAAATCAGGAACACACACAGACGCGGTTAGAGCCCACATGTGCCGCACTGGGTTTTTGAACGTTCACTGCTTTCACTGGAAACTCTCGAGGTTAAAGGGCATAGACTACCTTTTTACTTTTTAATAAAACAGTCCGCACAGAAGCCCAATAACACACATCCTCACAGGCATCCCTTCTAAAACACAGCCACACAGACTTCTAACACACAGTCCCATAGACTTCCATGTTAACAGAGATCCATTGTGATACAGCCCCATTAAACACATTAAACAAACCCCAATAGACTTCCATTCTAATACATTACTCCATTGAAGCACATAGCTACATAGTCTTCGATTCTAAAGCACAGCCAAAAACCCAGCACAACACTTCTCTTTTACCACACAGTCCCATAGACTTCCATTCTAATACATTACTCCATTGTAGCACATAGCTACATAGTCTTCTATTCCAAAGCACAGCCAAAAACCCTTTTTAACCACACAGTCCCATAGACTTCCATTTCAACAGAGATGCCATTAGACTTCCATTCTAACACAAGCACCTGGCCAGTCTTCAATTCCAAAGCACAGCCACACAGACTTCTATTTTAACGCACAGTCTCATAGACATCAATTTCAACAGAGATTCCAACAGACTTCCAGACTTGCATTGTAATAGACAGCCCCATAAAACACTTTAAAACAGTGCCCAAAAGACGTCCATTCTAATACATTACTCCGTTGGAGCACATGGCCACAAAGTCTTCAATTCTAAAGCACAGCCACACAGACATCTAACACACAGTCCCATAGAATTCCATTTTAATAGATATACCAATAGACTTCCATTCTAATACATTACTCCATTGGAGCACATGGCCACCTAATCTTCAGTTCTAAACACTCGAAATTCTCTAACACTGAGAATTTCCCCGTTGTGGGACTAATAAAGGATTATCTTATCTTATCTTATCTTAAAGCACATCCACACAGAATTCTATTCTAACCTGGCCCACAGTGTCACATAGACTTCCATTCTAAGACAGCTCACAACAGACTTTTGTGTTGTGTAATAGATAAGTCCCATAAACTCTCCCGGTTTAGTCCCATAAACTGCAACTAAAGTCTATCGGGCTTTCTTTTTAAAGTACAAGTCTATGGTGCATTATGTTATAAGTGTACTGAATGGTGTGCTGCACTTTAAAAAGAAAGCCCAATAGACTTCAACTCTAATGGACTACTCCAAAGATTTCCATTGTTACATACAACCCTACAGTCTTCCATTCTAACACAAGGTCCCATTTTAACAGAGATGCCCATACACTTCCATTATATTTCACAACCTCATAAACTTTCACACAGGTCAGTACATTTCTAGGCTCAACATATTACAACAAAGCCCAATAGGCCTCCATTCCAATATACTAATCGATTGGTTCCCATTGAAGCACACAGCAACATAGCCTTCCATTCTATAGCATAGCCACACAGACTTCTATTCTAACACATAGTCCCATAGAATTCAATTTAAACAGAAATACCAGTAGACTTCCATTCTAATACATTACTCCATTAGAGCACATGGCCACATAATCTTCAGTTTTAAAGCACATCCACACATAATTATCCCACAAAGTTCCATAGACGTCCATTCTAAGACAGCTCACAACAGACTTACATTGTAATAGATATCCCCATAAACTGGAGCACACCATTCAGTACACTTCTATTCTAGTGTACTGCCCCATAGACTTGCACTTTAAAAAGAAAGCCCAATAGACTTCAACTCTAATAGACTACCCCAAACATTTCCATTGTAACATACAACCCTACAGTTTTCTATTCAAATACAGTCCCATAGACCTTTATTTTAACAGAGATGCCCATAGACCTCCATTCTAAACAGCTCACAACAGACCCTGTAATAGAAAGCCCCATAAACTGCCACTGGAGTACACCATTCAGTACACCTCTGGCGTACTGCCCTTTAAAAAGTGCAAGTCCCATAGACTTTCATTTTAACCGTGATGCCCGTACACTTCCATTATATTTGACAACCTCAAGAACTTCCACACAATTCAATGCATTTCCATGCTAACGTATTGGCCCATAGCTTTGCACTTTACAACAAAGCCCAATAGGCCTCCATTCCAATACATACTAATCCACTGGTTTCCTTTGGATCGCACAGCCTCACGGCTTTCCATTCTAACACACAGCCACTCAAACTTATGTTCTAACAGCCCACAAAGTCCTGTGAAAGTATATTTTAACACTGAGCCAAATAGACTTCCATTCCAAGGGAGAGAGGCAGAGAAAGAGAGCGGGCCCAGAGGTGAACTCAGAGAATGCTGATTTTAATCTAAGACAAGATGAGAAATGTAACCTCCAAATAAAATCCCTCCATGCAAGTTATTTATACACCAGGCGGAGGGAGTGTGTGTGCGAAAGATTAACGAGGAGAATAGTAAATTCAGGTCCTCCGGAGAGGATGATGTCATGCTGTGCAAGGAGGAACTGATAAATGGAGCTAAAAGTGACCAGTGAGCCTCCAGCTATTGGCAGCTGAGTGACCTAACATGAACAGCAAGTCCACACTGACCCCACGTCAGCTCATTTCAATACAAATACACAGCCAGACATCACAGACACTGTGTAGAATAAGCAGCGCTGCCATATTTATCCACAGAGACAGAGGAGTCTGTGTATTTATCTGTAGAGGCAGACATATCAGTGTGTTTCCCCGCGTTTATTCGACTTTTGCAGAACAATAGCTGCGTGCTTCACCAAACAGCTCCGATGTTTAGGGTAGCTTGACCGGCCAAGCAGCTCTGAGAGGCCTGGGCCAGACTAAACCCATAAACCCCCAGCAGACAACCCAAAAATGATGTCAACAAAGCCGTTACAACAGGGGTGTCAAACTCTAGAGGGCTCTGAGTTTTGTTCTAACACAACCTAAGGCCTCACGCATTAGCTGAAGAGCTCTTTCAGGTGTGTTCAATGGGCCAATACGCTAAGCTAAATGCTACAGACTCCAGGCCTGGAGTTTCACACCAGACGTGGGTCGTAACTATGCACACCCATAAAACCCATGGAAAGATCCGGGCCTGCTTGTAGTCTTCTTATTTAAGACGTTATCATATTTATCAGCAATAAACTGTAGCATAATGAGATGTCTGAAAAAATAAATATCATGACAATTCATGTATTGTAAAAAATGTCTTGTGATATTATGTTTTTTCTTAGGAAAAGATAATATATTTTTAAAAACATATCTCTCATAACTTGTGGTCTCCATAGTAATTTGTGGTTTTAATATAGTAACTTGCGGCCACGATATAGTAATTTGTGGCCTCAACATAGTACCTTGTGGCCACAATATATTAATTTGTGGTCTCTATATAGTAACGTTTGGCCTCAATATATCAATTTCTGGCCTCAATATAGTAATTCATGGCCTTAATATAGTAACTTGCAGCATCAATATATTAATTGTGGTCTCGATATAGTAAATTATGGCCTCAATATAGTACTTTCTGGTCACAATATATAGCAATTTGTGGCCTCAATATAGTAACTTGTGGCCTGAATACATTAATTTGTGGCCACAATATATTACTTTGTGGCCTCAATATATTAATTTGTGGCCTCAATATAGTAATTCCTGGCCATAATATATTAATTTGTGGCCTCAAATAGTAATTTATGGCCTCAATATAGTACTTTGTGGCCACGATATACTAAATTGTGGCCTCTAAATAGTAACTTGTGGCCTCAATACATTAATTTGGGGCCTCAATATAGTAATTTATGGCCTCAATATAGTACTTCGTGGCCACAATAGATTAATTTGTGGCCTCAATGTAGTAACTTGTGGCCTCAGTATATCAATTTGTAGCCCCAATATAGTAATTTATGGCCTCAGTATAGTACCTCTTAATAATAACAGTATAACAGTATAGTACCTCTTAATTAATATTTTGTGGCCACGCCTTATTGAACAATAATCACCATTTAACCTTAGAGGCTCTTTCATCCTCTGTTTCATTGTTCTTATAAACTCTTTCAAAACTCCACTCTACTGTGAATGAATTGAACACACGGTGACCAACAGGGGGCGCCGTTTGAACAGATGCAAAACAGCCAAAGCAGCGCGCACGCATGCACGTGCAAACTCAGCGAAAAAGAATGAATGAGCGGTTCCAACAGTGTCAACAGCGCGCGCGCGCATATCCACGCACACAACAACGGGGCGCGCGAACCCAGCTTAAAAGCAAGTCTAACGGCTCTGCTGCTCCCTCACTGAGGCGCGAGCTCCACAAACAGACACACACACACACACACACACACACGCAACATAAGTAAGAAACTTACGGGGAGCTTGTGAGAGCGAGTCGAGCGTCTCGTGCAGCCTTCGCACGCGGATGAGAGAGACGGAGGCAGCGCGAGGAGGTCCCACCAAACCGAGCAGAATGAACGGCTCCCACAGTGTTTTGGATGAGAGCGCGCGCGCAGCTCTCGGTACCCAGCCAAGACTGTCAACCACTCGCAGGGGGTAAAACTCTCCGAGGCCCCGCCCCCCACTCTCCACTCCCCCCACCCCCCACTTTCATGACGTGACTGCAGAGTGATGTCCAGGTAAAGTGGGCCGCTCCGGCTTTGCGCTGCTCCGGTTTCTTGTTTTCATCATCACAGCGGCTGTAAGCAGAGGCGAGTTAGTGCACGGACCCACCTGAGGTGAAGCCCAGGGGGCCTGATTGGCCGTTTTTTTATCATTATTCATGTTTTTAATGAGATTTGTTTATTCCCTCTGCCCGACTGATAACAGGAACACCCAATAAAATGAGGGGAGAATGTTTATTAAGCTGAATTTTTAAAGTTGTTTTCTGTGAGCGCTGCCGCCGTATTATGGCCAATCACACCATTACACATTACGCCAGGGGTGTCCAAAGTCCGGCCCCAGGGCCAAATTTGTGTATTATAGTACCTCGTGGCCACGATATATTAATTTGTGTCCTCAATATATCAATTTGTGGCCTCATTATATTAATTTGTGGCCTGAATATAGTAACTCATGGCCTCAATACATTAATTTGTGGCCTCAATATAGTAACTCATGGTCACAATATATTAATTTGTGGCCTCAATATAGTAACTCATGGTCACAATATATTAATTTGTGGTCTCAATATAGTAATGTGTGGCCTCAATATATTAATTTGTGGCCTCAATATAGTAACTCAGGGTCACAATATATTAATTTGTGGCCTCAATATAGTAATGTGTGGCCTCAATATATTAATTTGTGGCCTCAAATATACTCATGCTCATACATTATTTGTGGCCTCAATATAGTAATTTGTGACCTCAATATATTAATTTGTGGCCTCAATATAGTAATGTGTGGCCTCAATATAGTAACTCATGGCCTCAATACATTAATTTGTGGCCTCATTATATTAATTTTTGGCCTCAATATAGTAACTCATGGTCACAATACATTAATTTGTGGTCTCAATATAGTAATTTGTGACCTCAATATATTAATTTGTGGCCTCATTATATTAATTTTTGGCCTCAATATAGTAACTCATGGTCACAATATAGTAATTTGTGACCTCAATATATTAATTTATGGCCTCATTATATTAATTTTTGGCCTCAATATAGTAACTCATGGTCACAATACATTAATTTGTGGTCTCAATATAGTAATTTGTGACCTCAATATATTAATTTGTGGCCTCATTATATTAATTTTTGGCCTCAATATAGTGTGTAATAATAAATATAAAATGTGGCAAATTTAGCGGCACTGGGAAGAGTTTTGGTTATTTTGGGGGGGGTTTGGTTGTTGAACGTCTTGGAGAGGCGTATGCATTTACAATATATTCTTTAGTAAAGGCAATGGTTCTCATGGTTCTATATAAAACCATGAGTTCTATACAGAACCATTTCATGCTTAAAGTGGGTGTTGTATATGGTTTATAGAACCTTTGTGACAGTGTCTCTATATAGCACCAAAAAGGGTTCTGCTATTGTTACAAGCTTGATATCATAACAATAGAAGAGCCTATTCTGGTGCTATGCAGAACCATTTCACCATAGAACCTTTGCCTTTACTAAAGAACACTTGAAGAAGAATTTTTAAGAGTGTATGTAAAGCACATTGTATACAAAATGTGCTATATAAATAAACTGCTTTCTGCTTTCTTGAGCTGACTTGATAGTCTTGAGACCACAAGGCAAATACGTTGTGATCTCAAGATAACAGTCCAGAAAAACTACCTCATGGCTTCTCTGGACTTCCACAGGTACTCAGTTAGATGACGAGCTGAATCAGGAATAACTTGTGAGGACGAAGCTGAAGTTGTTCCACATGTATTGAACTAATTGTGGACTTTTTAGGTGCTCTCAGTGTATAAATTATCCTAGTGCAATGGAACATTGCTCCTCAGTGACGTCCCACAATGCACCTGGAAAAGTAGGGGGCAAAGGTGTTTCCTTAGAGACCTAGTGTATCCCAGGTTACACTGTAAAAACTAATTTAAGACATCGTCTAGATTGTCAGACACTCCGACATTAATAAACGTTTTGAGAGGGAACCTGTTCTAGCTAACTTATCCTCCTTTGTTTTCTGAGATGTCAGTTTGCCAGTCACAAATGTAGGTTTGTCCTGTTTGTCCACTTTTATGATTCACACACACATTTTCTAAGCCACTTATTCTCCTGGGGGGTGCTGGAAATCTCATTGGGCGGAACCAGAGCCAGTTTATGAGGAGGCTGGCCACTTCCTATTTCCCCCATTATATAAAAAACAGGACTGTTAAACAGCAGAGGGCACCTGCGAGCGAGTCCTCAATGAATGGGGGTGAATGGAGCTAAACAGCTAAAAGCTAAGAGTTAAAATAGTTTCAGATCACTGAACCAGAACTTTCCTTTAATTTTAGAAGGTAGAAGGATGGATTTCACCAAAACAGCAAAGAAAACTCACCTGTGTGTTTCCTTTTTCTACAGCAAACAGGTTTTGGGCAGCAGGACGCTAACATTACTGCTACTGAGTGCTGATTGGTTAGCATTACTGCTACTGAGTGCTGAGGCGAGCGGAGCAGCTCATTGGCTGTTCGCGCTCACTGACGTCATGAACGTACCTGAGGTGCCGTTTTAAACTCCTATAACTCGAGTTTAAAAGCTCTTAAAAATATAACAGCAGTGTTAAAATGGTTTATGCTGCTCTGTGTTCAGGAAATCAATGTATTATTTTACATTAAAAATGTTTCAGCACTGATAAACTATGATTTTGCTCAAATGCTCCATATCAACTCATTCATGTTGGACTCGCTCAGGAGCGCCCTCTAGTGTTTGAGAAACCCGTTAGACATTACAGCGTGGGAATTCTCCTCTCTACAAGCTCTCTGGGTGGAAGGGACTTTTATTGTGTAAATCACCACAAGCAAAGGTTTCCAGGACCAATGAGAGAATTTAGGGGTCCAGCTAAATCGTTTTATCCATTAATCTGTTATCAGAGTTCTCTTCGCTTGTCTGCGAGCTTCTGGTTTACGTTCATGAAGTTCTTTGTCCAGCCATCTGGAACTGCCCACCGCACCCTTTTCCTAACGGGCAGCCTCCCATACTGAACCTTTAACAGCCTGCACTGTGTTAAAACGCGGGAACTCATAATGAGAGCTGATAAAATCCTCCTCCTCATCATTTACCTCGCTTTACCTGAAGCTGAACAGGTCTCCATGTTGTTAGCAGCTGCTGATGCGCATTCACACGAGTGTTGGACAAGTCAGTGTTTAGTTTGAGTAAAATCATTTTGAGGCGTGTCAGGCAGCTTTTATTACACTTCAGCAGGGATTTTAAGTGTTTAAAGTGGATCAGGTTCGGGTACAGAGCTGCTAATAGGCCTCATCAACGCTCCACTCCCTGAAGACCATTAGCTCCGCTCAAATAAACAGAAGACGAGCTGGAGCGGGACACACACAGATGTCAAAGTAAGAGTTCAGCGGATTTGCCAATGAATAAATAATAATAATAAAAGAAATCATAGAAAAAATAACATAAATCTAAATATATACAAATAAAAAGTTTAGAAATGTGAAAATAAAATAAATATATATTGAAAAATATTCGAAAACGACTTCAAAATTAAAACATTTTGAGAGAGAGAGAGAATAACGAAGAAAGAAAAAGAGGAGAGAAAAACAAAGAGAGAAATAGAGAGAGAATAACAGAGAGAGAGAGAGAGAGAATAACAAAGAAAGAAAAGAGGAGAGAGAGGAAAACAAAGAGAGAAATAGAGAGAGAATAACAGAGAGAGAGAAAGAGAAGAGAGAGGGAAAGCGGCGCTCGGTGCGGCGGTTTCCCGCGTTTTTTAACGCTCCACGCACCGGAAATCGTCCATGACTTTCTCGCCGATAAAGATTCGTGGGACACGAGCACGCGCTCTATTCATTTATTCATGTATTTATTTATTTATGTTAGTAGTGACCCAGGTGTTGTGAGATATATATATATATATATATATATATATATATATATATATATAGATATATATTTGTATATATATATATATATAGATAGATAGATAGATAGAGAGAGAGAGAGAGAGAGAGAGATAGAGACAGAGAGAGAGAGAGAAAGACAGACAGAGAGAGAGGGAGAGAGAGAGAGAGAGAGAGAAGATAGAGAGGTAGAGTGTAAACTCCAGGGTGTGTTTAATGACTCACAACTGCAGATTATTTAAAAGGCCACAGAGAGAGGACACCCCCCCCACATCACACACACATACCCCACACACACACACACACACACACACACACACACATCAGACCCAACAGCAGGTCAGTGCCATTAGGAGTCCATGTAGGCCCATCAACACCCTCCATCATCTCTGTTCTCTATTTCACTATCAAACAGACGATTTAAACCTTGCCTGATTATGTTAGAAGAGAGATTTTATATTTATATTTTATTATTATATTATAGGGCATATCAATAAATCTGCTGTAAGTAATATGTTTAACTAGATTTGGGTGGACTTTTCCTGTACTGTGCTTCATTTTAATGATTTAACTTCATTTAGCTTTAGTTGTTATGTTAACATGACAAATACAGGAATACTAGTACAGTACTGTGAATATGAGAGAGAGAGAGAGAGAGAGAGAGAGAGAGAGAGTGTGTTGAGGAGGTTAAGCCAGATCACCCACATGACATGAGATCATTAAACCTGGGCAGTGAGTATTAACAGGACCACCTGTACTCTGACTCTCCCTCCTTTTTGAAGGGTTGAAGGTGAGGAAGGGTTTTAAAGGTCCACACAGAGGGACAGTGAACAATAGGTCATTTATTATTGTGTGGATGTGTTAGCACATTTATTGTACACACACACACACACACACACACACACATATATATATATATATATATATATATATGCTGATATTAATACGTGTTAATGTTAAACTTAGCAAATAAGCCAAAATGGTGCAGATAAATGTCATATTCAAGTGTGTTCCAGC